GAAAGCCAGGCTGGCGCAGCCGGGAGCTGCGTGCCGCCAGCTCCATCACGCACCGGGACCAGCTGAACTTTGTGGGGTTTGAATATACATTTCTCCTCTGCGGTCGCTTCGGACAGCATTACGGAGTCACGCCACCGCACACCTTGTGCCTGCTGTTACCCAGATCGAGCACAGGGGACGGCAAAGGAGGGGATTGCTGCCTCTCCAAGGACCAGCACCTGTGAAAAGAAGCTGGAGAAGGGCAATTTATCTTTCTTTTCCAGATGACTGAAAATACCTACGGGATCCTGCCTCTCCAATTTTCATCAGTGAGTAGCGTCAGGGAGAGACAGCTGAGGAACAAAGATGGTATCTGTCAAAATCATTCTAGCACTTACTTTTTCCCAAGGAACTTCATGCCCGTAGGGGTTTGCTGCGGGCATTTCCGGGACTGAGGAGCAACGTTACCACAGATTCATCCCTACCGGATCATGTAAGAATTTGCAAATGAAAAATCTACCCCAGCAAGACCTCTGCCCAGTTTGCAGTACATGGTTTGGTGTAAGTACGGCAATTCTCACCTCTTTCTCTCCCTTTTAAATCTCCTTGGCTTGGAGATTTCTTTCCTCGTTGCAATTATGATTATTTGCAACATCAGTGCCATCAAAGATTGGAGCACTTTCCTCTCCCAGATCCTCCCCAGCGTTAACAAGACTCTGAACTTGGTACAGCAAGTGGAAGCCACCACCAGCTCGGTGGTAAGTGTCCTCCAGGACCCTGAGCAGGACAACTACCTGTCCAACAGCCAGTCCATGAACTCCAGCAACTTCACGGCTGGCCTGGACCACTTGTTCCAGTACTCGTACTCAGACAATGATCAGCTTTACAAGGAGTACAAGCCCCCTCCTCGAGACGCCATCCCCCTACCCAAGGCTGTCCTCTACCTTCTCATGGCAGCCCTGGTGGTGGTGGCAGTGGCATACGCCATCGTTGGGCACCTCATCAAGGACCTCATTCATGACTTTATAGGTGAGTGCGGGCATCATGCGTCATGTGCATGCGGTCAAAAAGAGCTTGGTGCAAAGCCTGGGGGTGCTGGCTGGTGTCTCTCCTTTGTTTTGAGTGGGTTTTAGACCGATCCTCGACAATTTCACATTAACCAGAGTGTTAGTTTGCCTGATGTTCTGGGTTCTCCAATCTGAGCTGAATGGCGATCAGAGAAAAACCTTGGGTTTGGCCCTCTTCCTAAAGAAATTAGGTTTGTGCGTTGAGTCTATTGATGTGTATGTGTGCACGTCTGTGCTGCCAAACGATTGTGAAACCCATAGCCCAGTTTCAACTGAGCTTGGATTAGAGGTCGCCAAAAAGAAAAGTTTCATGGCCACAGATACCTAAGCACAGGGCAACAACCCACCAGTGCATTGTGAAAGGAAAGCTTAATCCTCAAGACACCAGTGAATCCACAAACTCCTAGGAAACACAGGTCAGCAGCCTTGCACAGCGCCTAGCACAACCATCGCAGCCTCAGAGGCTGCTGCAAAAAATCTGTAAGATGATAGCCCAAAGAGTGTGCATTTTCTGGAGAACTGGCTTCCCGACTCTTTCGTTTCATCCCATTGCTGATGAACGAGATCCCTCGTCATTGGGGATGAACGCTCTGCTGGCTGCAGCCCCGTGGGCAGGCAGAGGTGCAGGCAGAAGTGCTTGGCTGCTCCTGGCAAGCCCTCAGCAGTACTTTTGCTGTCTGCTCTGTAATTTGTAAGGCCGGTGGTGCCAGGGAGGGCAAATGTGCTGGTGGTGGTTTTCCAGCTTGGACCAGGGGACAGGTGGGATCCACAGTGGGGTTGAAGCTCCAGGCTCATGCAGATGTGCAAACCCCTCCTGAAAGCTCTGGAGAATGATGTTCTCTGCAGGGACTGAAACCTCTTTGCGCACCCCTTGCTCGAAGCCTGTCCTCAGTCAGGGATGAAGATCTGTAGACTCCATCTCTGTGGTGGGAGGGAGATCACACTCATTTGGAGCAAAATCCACGTGTTCATTCATGATTCTCCTTTATTTCCTTGCTGCTGGGATACATGAGATATACACTGGCCAAAACTCTGACTGGTGCCCGCAGGGTGGGCAGCATCCATGCTGTGCTGATGGGAGGGCAAGCCAAGTCCCTCAGGCAGGGGGTCCCAACCAGGCAGGGTCCAGCAAATCTGGGGCACAGCTATTTGGGGAGGAGATATGTGGGACAAGAAGGGTTGAATCTCCTGGCAGGGAGCAGTGCTCAGGGTCTCGCATGAGGTTCAGCCAGGAAAATAGCAGGGAGCTGCTGCTGAGGAGTCTTTCTTTGCCCCAGCTGGAAGGGAACAGATACTGTCTTAAAGCGTTAAATATAACACTTAATCAGCAGCTTGCTGGGGCTGCAACACCTCCCGGCTCTGCCGCTCATCTGATTTAATGTTGCCTTCCTAACAAAGGTAGGCAGCAGGGACAGCACCTAAAAATATACATGCTCCTACCCTGAGATGCTCAAAGGACCAGGTGAGAGCAGGTTAGAAACCCCCCCGAGGTGGGAGAGGGTCCAGCTGCAGTGCTCCTGTGGAACAGACACCTCCTGCCCCAATTGCTGGGGTCCCTGACGCATGGATGTGAGTGCTCAAAATCACCCCTTGGGTGATTATTGAAAAGCAGGGCCCAAACCCACATAAACATAATGCTCCCCCAGGCAGGGAGAGAGGCTGAAGCCGCAGTTGAAGGCACCTATGCCACTACCGTGCTATTTCCAGCTCAGCATCAATGCTCCCTGGTGACCTTGGGCACATTTTACTTTCGCCCCAGTGTGGGACGGGGTCAGCGGGGTTCCCCTTTCCTCGCAAAGCCTTTTGCAAAGGGACTTCCACAGCGCTGTGGATGTCCCAGAGCTGGACAGGCACAGGGACCCTGGGGTGTGCCTGCTTTCTGCCGCTTTGGAAGAAGTCCTTTCCCAGCTGAACGGCCTCGCTGAGGCCGTAGCATCCTCCCTGCCCTGGCTGGAGGGGACATCTCTCCGAGTTAGGATCAGAACTTCAGATGTGAGTTTCTGCCCCATCCAGACTCAGAGAAGAAGGCATTTCCCAGACTCCAGCAGGACCCCTGAGTGCCAAAGCCTGCCTCCACCTTGTCCTATTTAGCACTCCAGGCCCATCTTCACACCATTTACACGCTTAAAATGAGCCGGTCCTCAGAGGAGAGCAGACGAGACCGTGTTTGTTAACACTGCCAAGCAGCAGCCTTTAAAGAGAAGGTTTCATTTGAATGAGTTTGCATAAGAAGACTTCAGGGACAGGACAGAGGGACCAAGAGATAGTAAATAAGAAGCTGGTCTACCTTAACACAATGCCTGGATTTATATACTCGGCAGCAGCTCCAACCTCCGCTCTCAGCTTTTCTCTGTTAATCATATTTAGAAGGATACAGAGAGAGATGGAAATAAGATGCCAAAGGGCTAGAGCCTGTTTTGGGGAGATTAAAGTGTGAATAGTTAATCGCTACTTTAAACAGTCACTCGGAGACATCAGGGATGAGTTGAGCTCCTCAATAACAGCTTGTAGGACATGGCTAGGGAAGCCAAAGCATCAGCCAGCCCCGTGTGCTCAAAGGGACTACAAGAAGCAGGCTCTGGACTCAGTTTTGTGTGGCAGAGAGGCTCTCGGGGTGCTGCTGAGCTCTTCCCCTGCCAAATCCGAACAGGTATCGGAGACACCGACACCTCTCTCACATCCACTTCTTAAAAATTCAATTAGAGCTTGTCCAGGCATCCCTGGGGGGAGGCAAATGCCGCTGTGATGCCCAGTGGTGTGGGGAGGAGTGAAAAATGGGAGGCTGCATCAGAAAGGGACAGATGTATTGTTGGGGAGGGGGACGGCAGGGTTCCCCTCAGCCAAGGTGGGGATCCTGCCCTCATCCCTTAGCGCACCGGGATACAGATAAAAGGGCTCTAAAAGAGCCTGTGTTCAGGTCTTTCTGGAGACACCTGGCCAAGAAAAGCCCCAAATACCTTAATTTCTCTCCAGTCCCTCCCCGCTTGCTCTGAGCTGACAAAGTCTCAGGTTTGTGACTTTCCCAAAACTCACCGAGCATTTCTACTCGGGGATGACTGCGAGCCCCCCAAGGCAGGAGGATGGTTCTGGCGTGAGTGCAGCTCAGACCCAGCTACCAGTTAAGACAAATTGGGTCGAAGCATTTGGAAAGCGGCTTAACCGGGGAGTGCTGGAGAGCTGCCGGAGACGGCGCTGCGGCGAAGTGCCGGCTTGGCAAACGACAAGCCTGTCACCAACCTACGAAGCTCCTAATTACTGCAATCCTTGGGAATCGGCCCGCCCTCCCTCCTCCATCCCCAGCAGTTCGCTGAATATCGCCCTTATTTAAACACCAAAAAAAAGGAGAAAAAAGGGGGGGAAAAAAGTTTGACTGCAAACAAAGCTGCTGCCATGGAGACGGTGGCGCGTGTGGTCCCCGGGAAGGCATCGGGAACCAGGCGGGCAGGGTCTGTTGGTCTGCGTGGGAGCCGGTGATTTGCAGGGAGACCTTTGCTGGTAAAGTCTCCTCTGAGATGCTGATCTCCAAAGGAGACCTTGAGGAAACTTTTCCTTCAGGAATGGGTCCAAAGCAGGTGTCCAGCTGGAATAAGGTAGGGCAGGCTCTGGTGGGACTGTGCTGGTCGATGGCTTCAGGACTGCTCAAAACTCTAAGCCAGTCTCAGAGCAGGGTCTTTCTTTCCTTTGCCCTTTTGACCCACCAGCTGTATTTTTATTTTTCAGCCTTATCTCCACATGCCACATTTCAGGCTTCTTTAGGAAAGCGCCTCCTTGAACAAAGAAACTGTGCATGAATGTAGCATTGCTGAAAATAGCTGCCGGGTGATCCTGCGGGGACTCGGGATCCGCTTTTAATTGCTCCCACGCAGAACCTCAGGGCTTTTAGGATAATTCAGCCCATGGCAGGGATTGCAGATAGCATCCATCAGAGAGGACTTACATCTTCTTTTCAGGCTCTGTTTTAAGTATGATTCATTTGCCTCTCAAAGTTATGGGAGTAGAGATCATGTCAAGTTCCCTTCTGTTTCCCCACCTCGGTGCTAACCCCCCTCTGACACTAACCCCCCTGCCTCAGTTTCCATTTTTGTGCATAGGGATGCATCAGGGGTTCCTTAGCCACTGTTTTAGGGGTGCTGATGTCTCGTAGCAGCTGCTCTAGGATGGCTTTCACCAGGTTAGTTCCCACTTCAGCTACTGTAATGACAAGCAGATGCCCCATTCCCACATCTGCCGTGGCTGTGGGCTGCAGCTGTCAGCCCAACAAGCAGCCCCAGTGCTCTGGCCCTGAGAAGAGCAGGCAGAGATGGCCCCACTCTAGGACAGCTGATTTCACCACCAAACCTTTGACGCACAAAGCTGGAGCAGTGAGATGGCTCCTGGTACGCGCTGCTGGGATTGACCAAGGCTGATGTTGAGGATGCACCATCTCACAGCAGCATTTCCATTCCTGCCATCGTGTGGTCCAGCGATGGGCTGCATCCGGGCCCTGGAGCAAGGACCGTGCCTTTCCATACCTCTGCGAGTGCTGGTCCTCCTTCAGCTGGGACCGAGCAGGGCTCCTCACCCTATGGCCATCTTCGTTCTGACTCTATGGCAGATGCCCAAGGCTGGAAGATGCAGAGAGCAACTAACCACTCCCAGGAGCATCCCTGCTCCTGTGTACCACACCTGAGCCTTCACCTCTCCAACACCTGCTCTCCAGAGCAGCAACACTGCCCTGCGGATGGGACTGGGATCAAATGCAGGCTTGGTCCAGGGTTACACAGGTGCAGAGAAGCTACTTTTAAGAGAATATTGTGATTAATTGAATGCCCTTTCTGTGACAGCCTTTTTCCCCATCAGACCCTTCACGCTGGTGACAGCTTGCAGAGGGAGAGCGTCCTTCCCTGTCCATCAGCAAAGCCGTGTGCCCGTGTTGCTCGGGCTGCAGGACAGTTTTGACTCAGCCAGCGCAGCTCACCTAAGGAATTTCTATAAAACAGGGAAGGAAGAACAAACTCTGAAAGCAAGTTAATTTAGAAAGATGTGAATCTGAGGGGGGAAGGGGGACTTCTTGCTAACAAATTACTACTGAAAGAGGCAGACAGAGATTTTCCAGCAGAACAAACCCAGGAGATATCTGCTGATTTTGCTAATGAATAAACAGAGTCTGTCCTGCAAATGAGACAGATCCGATGTCCAGCTGCGACTGCTGCATCGTGTCAGACGCATGAGGGATACCCTTGAACTCATGTCTGTCGGGAAAGCTTTGGCTGGAGCTGGCCCTGCCTTGCTGCAGAGTACGAGGTGACCGCTGGATCAGGATCTGCTTCAGACAAAGAGATCTTCTGCTCCTGCTGCTGGGAAAATGGCTATTTTAGCAGCTGTTTTCACACCCAGCTCCATTTAAAGCAAGTAAAACCAGAGCACGAGTTTGACTGTTCATCTAGCATGTTGCTTGTTTCCATCACTGCAGGGAGTGTGAACATCTCACTTACCAGGTTGTGTTTAAATTTCAGCCCTTTCTCCCACCTCCCTCTGCTTTTTTGTCAGGGACATCATCTCTTTTGTCAGTGCCTCCTGGACATCCCACCCTGTCACTGAGGAATGCAGGGGACCTGGCCATCCCACCAGGATGAGCCTGGGCGTAGAGCATCCCTGTGCCCCTGTGCACACACTGTAAGGGGTTTCTGAGCCATACCACTGGTATGAGGAGGGGTAAAACATGCTGTGAAATCTAGGCAGCCCAGAATGGTATTTTTCTGCCCCCTTAGATCAGCACATCACAAAGGTCCTGCATCCAGGGATGCTTCCAGTCAAAGACTTAGGCAGAGCCATGGAGGTGCGGGGCACTTTCTGCCACGTCACTCTGCTATTTAGGGAGAGATGCAATTCTGCAGCTCCTGATTTACCCGATCTGCCCTATCTCCTCTCCCCAACTGCTTTGGATCAATCGCTCATATCGATCTCACCCCATCTCAGCATTTTCCACCTGACCTTTCGCCCTGCAGGACCTCAGCCGGCACGCTGAGCCTCGGCAGACCCTGGGAGCAGGGAGAGTGTCTCTGGGTTCAACGCTGCTTCTCCAGCCTGGCTGAGAAAGGCACTTTGTCCCTTTCTTTTATCTGAGGCATTTCCATACATGCCCGTGTTCATGCCCTGATTTTGCAGCACATGTTACGAGCTTCTTCCAGGGGCTGGGTAGGGACAGGCAATGCTTTTCCTTACCTACAAAGTGTGACCATCCCAGGTCCAGGAAAGCCACTGCACCAGGAGGGCATCATGGGACCCCTACTTGCCCCAGCTCTGCCCTTGGGCGTCCCGGTTCAGTCTGACTTTGCTTGCCTTCTAGCTAGAGCACGTGTGAACCTGAATGTGAACTTTGCTCCAAAAGATAATTTCATTGTACTCTCGATGCTGGTTGTGTCCATTTTCTGTTGCTCAAGCAGACTCCCTGCCATATGTTAGGGATGGAGAGAGAAATACCTGTCGTGACACCAAGGGCTTCAGCTCCCTTCTGTCAGCCACCACTGCCCCTTGGCTCCCAGACCCTCACCACTCTCCACCACCTGATTACAACCCCCACAGGGTTCATTATCTGGGGTTTCTATCATGTGCTTGTGCTTGACATGAGGTCAGGCATCCCATCCCCTGCAAAGGTCCTTCTGCATTGAGAAAAGGTTTAATCACATCAGGACCGAAGCTGTGCAGGTCCCCTCTCTCCTCCACCTTGTCCCTCCCTGGATATCCCACGAGGGACCCCAGTTTCTTACCCACAGGCTGAGCAAGCTGGGGAAGAGCATGCATGGCTGGGACAGAGCCAGCTGGTGGTGGCTGGCAGGAGAAACGAGGGCGCTGACATTTTTATGGTTGTTACTCCAGGGTCCTGCTGGCAGAAGATCGTCCGCTAGCTCCACAGGGCCTTGCTCCCCTCTCCCACACATGGCAACATGCTGAAGTTTCAGGCCATAAATGGCCACAAATAACGTGTAATTGTGTAATTACTTCACTCCTTACTTACACAGTCAAATCATAAAGGCATCGCAGTAAATACCCTCTAATGACAGCCTAATTACATCTTCCTGCAGATTACCGGGTAATTAGATCCAGCAGGCTCCAGAAATAATTCCCAGGGAAGCAGCATTTCGGATTAGCGCATACAATCCAGCCCGCATTTACTCGGGAATTAGGCTGCAGCAGCCTCACGCAAGCTGCCTTCCCCAGGCACCCCCTCCAGCCACATCCCCCTTGGTGACTGCACCACGACCCTTTTCCCATGGAAGTGGCTAATGCTGAGCCCCCCGGCACTCTCCCAAAACACCCATCCTCTGTGTTCCTGCCCTTATCCCAATGCCAGGCTCAGTTCTTGCTTCTTCTGCTGCCTGTGAATGTCCCCAATATCAATGCTTGGCCACCAAATGCCACATCCCCTTGCTCACAGGCATGCAAAGCTGTGCTCTTTTACTTCCAGTTGCAAGCCTCACTTGATGGCTCCCAGGATATTTGAGGACCTGTAACCTCTTTTCTCCAGGTTATTCCCCTTCTTCCTGCTGGACCAGACCCTGCTCCTACTGGAGTTTTACAGCTGACGTCAAGGAAAAGCAGCTGAGACCTTTAATAGTATTTGCAGGAGGCAATCTTGTTATTGCCTTCCGGATCCTCCTCATGCCAAGCGGCTGTGCAGTGGCTGGCACAAGTCTGGGAGGTCTTGGAGGCAGGAGAAGGGGGGATCCAACTGGCATGGACAGAGCCTAGGCTGTGGAGCCAGACTGGGAAGCAGCAGGTGGAGTATTTGGCTCTGGTCTAAATCCAGTAAATTCAAGCAAAATGAAGGCTACATAGGAAAAAAGATCTAAATGAGCCTCCTGAGCCTGGCTGATATCCTTGGGGAAAGGTTGTGATGGGAGCCCAGGCTTTGATGGGGGTTGTGGACCATGCAAGAGAAAGCTGAATGTCCCAGCTGGGAGTCGGGGGAAACCCAGGGGTCCCCAAAAGCCTTTGGACCATGAGTTTGCTGAGTTCCCCAATCACTTTCACCAGCACTGCGGTAGTTTTGGGGACTGCGGTGGTTCTTCTCTTGCCCTTCACATCACAGAACCAGCAGACCCTGCTGGTGTGGTGATGGAGGTGAACAAAATAAAAGGAAAAACAAGAAAAAACAGTCACTCTCTGGACATGCCGCCTGCACCCAGTGTGGTGGAAGCTCCCTCTTCCTTGGACCCTATGACCACATCCAGCCCACGCCAGGCAGCGGGGCACAAGCCCCCCTGATGCCTGCCCAGCCCCCGTGGACACCCACCCTGACTGCACAGCATCAGCATCACCCTGAAAGCTGTGCCGTGCGCCCTCAGGGATGGCATGGCCAAGTGGCTTTAGGCTGAAGAAGAAATTCAAATATTGCATTGCAAAAATGACATAACTTGTGGGTTTTCATCAAAAAAGAAGGAAAAGCTTTGGGGCTTTTGAAAAAGCTTGCTTTGTTTGTTGTTTCTGAGAGCAATCCATTGGTGAATAAGCAGAGTCCCTCAGAAATAACTAAACCAGCCCAGTCCTTTTGTCTGCCTCCCAGTCACTGTTTCTGCTTTATTCTGGGAGCAGGGCTGAAGCAAAGGGGTCTTGGTGCTTCACTGCCCACTGCTGCCAGGTCCTGCCCCAGGGGCTCCTCTGGGGCCTCTGGGCTCCTCCTCTCAGGTGAGAGGAACCTGGCTTTCCCCAGCTTTGGTTTCCCCATTGCTGGAGCTTCCCATCACGGCTGGGCATGGCTTCACACCACCCCAACAGCCAATTTTTGTAAAAACCCCCATATTTGGGAAATGGCAGCACCTGCCTCCACTGAGCTGCAGCCCCTCATGCTACAGGGGACATCTCAGCAGTGACCACTGTATTTTGGAGAGGGATCCGCTTTGGGTGTCACGTAGTTATTTAATCAGCCCCTCCATTTCCTACAGCAAAAACTTGCCATAGGAAATCCATTCCTTTCCCATGCCGGTGAGCCCAGATGCACACTTTGCTTCGGAAACATTTCATTTTTGGGATTAGCAGGGTGATTTCACTTGCCTAAGCCAGGAGGGCTTCCAGAAACCCACACCCTGAAAACCAGCCCAGTACTGGAAAGAGCAGAGACCCTGGTACTAGGGCAGTAGAGGGGGATGGAAAGACAATGGAGGGCAAGGGACCCTCCTGGAGGGTGAACACCCAGAGCGAGGGGTAGGATGTGGTAAGGGCAGAGATTTCCCAGCCAGCTTTGACTCTGGGGCCAGCTGGAGGTAACCAGGGGCTCATTTTGTGCTTTCCTTTCCTCCAGACTGGATCTTTGGCCCCAGCCCAGATGACAACAGCAACAAGAGCGACGTCAACTGCATCAGCAACAGCGTCAATGAGATGAGCGAGATGCCCGAGGCGCCACGGCGCCGGGACCGCCAGCCCCAGGACGTAGTCATTGCCATTGGCGAGACTTGTCACCTGCCACAGCAGACATGACTGGCGTGGAAGCTGGGCCAGGCGGGGTGGAGCAGTGGGATGGAGCGGAGGGACGGAGTGGAGGGATGGAGCGGAGGGATGGAGCAGCAGGACGGCGCAGTGGGACGGTGCAGCAGCCACCTTGCAGAACCAGGTGGTGAAAGGAAGGGTTGGGCAGAGCCAGCACCATGGAGCAAAGCCCTCCTTGCCCCGGTTTTGGCAACCTCTAAGGACCTTGCTGGGGTGGGTGGCATCACCCTTTCTCCCGGGCTCGTCAGTCCTGTCCTGACTGGCCCTGGGTTTGTGATCTCCCTTTCTTCCCTGTGAATAGCAAAAAAAAAAAAAAAAGGCAAATGCAAAATACACCCACCAAACAAGGCTCACAGGAGAAATGAGCCAGAGAGGAGCCGGGTGGTCCTTTGGCATGTGGCTGTCCTGGGGATGGGGTGGTGAAAAGGGTGAGGAGATGAGGTTGTGTGAGAAATGGAGGTGTCTGTGTTTCTGGGGACAGACCCAGGATGCTGCAGGGAGCTGAGGCTACAGCCAAGGGCTGCAGAGAGGCACTGAAAGGTCAGCAGGTGCCAAATCTAGCCCGGTACATCAATGACCTGCCTGGGTGCCTTCCTCTTCCCTGTCAGGGTACTGCTACCCAAAACTGCCCTTTTCTCTTCCTGCCATTTCTCTCAGCTCAAGGGCGTCCTTTCCCATTGCTAAAGCCAGGCAGATCCCTATCCCCACTTTTTAAGGGGCTCAGGGGAAGCCAGCAGCAGCCAAGGTGGGGTGTGAGGTCCCAAACCAAGTGGGAAAAGAAGCATGCTGATGGTTTCACTGGTATTTTAAGGCCAGCTCTCACCCCACTTGGAGTTTTAAACCAGGAGCCATAATTTCTTTGCACAGCAGAGTAGAGGCACCCTGGAGCAAGCTCATTCCTTGGTCCAGGTGCCTCTTCCTCTTCTTATGAAGATCCATTCCTCTGATCTGCACATCTTTCCTGAACTTAAAAAAAAGGCTAAACTGATGGCCCAGAGACCAAATCCCAGGAAAAGGCAAGGTCAGGACTTCTGCCTCTGCATTCAGGGAAACGAGCCCTGAGATACCCAGTGCACCCCTAATAGCAGAACCCAGAGCATCATTTTCCCCTTCTGAAAGTTGTTAGGGAAAATGGATGCGACTTCAACCTCCTGCTCTGATGGCTTTTAATGAGAGCCATTACCAGCAGTCCCACGCTGGGGCTTTGTCAGCTTTGCAGCAAGCAAGGGCCGTAGCAATACCAGAAGCCTATCCCCAGTATTTAGGCATTTCCAATCAATCAGATGCGTCATCGCTGTCACCATCATTTTTCTCCCACTTTTTGGCCCCTGTCAATCGCTTGGGCTGTCAAGGGGAGCTTGGCAGTGATGTCATGGCAGTGTGGGGGCTGCTGGGGGGTGACCCCAGGTTTGTTGGTCCCTGGGAGCAGGGCTACAGTGCCAGAGCTGGCTGTGGACTGGCGAAACTGGGAAGGTCCAGATTCCTGGGGGACAGGAGATTGTATGGGGTGGGGGGGGCTTGGTTTCCTTGCTCCCCTGCCCTTTCAACATCTAAAGGCTGGTCACTGGGGTTACCCCAGTCACCACTGCAGAGGGATGGTGTGGCCATGCGTCTGGCATAGATACTGCTCTCAGAAGGACCAGTCCCTGCCATGGGGGCATGCCACTGGGCACAACTGGTCCCCTTATGGCTGTAGGCAACAGCCCCAGAGGGTCTTCTGCATCAGGGACTCATCGCCCTCCAGCTGCTGGAAATACAGTGCGGGTTACCTTGAGGATGGAGGCAGACACCTCTGCTGCAGCTGGGCTCTTGCTCCCTTCCTTCCCAAAACATCGTGGGTCCTACACGCCATGGTTTGACCACGGGGAGCTGCTCTTGCACTCAGCAGTTTGCACCCAGGGCCAGGGTGGCTGTCACCCACCCAGGCCACTGTCTTCTGAGCAGGAGGAGAAGGAAGGAGCCAAGCTCCCTCCTGTGGCCGCCTGCGCCAGGTCTCACCGGGCTGCTCAAGGATGGGAAGGGGCCGACGAGGAGGTGCTCTCTCCATCCACTCCCCTCCTGGAGCCAGGACCCTCCTTTGAAGCCTCTTTTTTGCCGGGATGCAGGGAGAGATCCTGTGCTGTGTCCATCTCCTGGATCAACTGAGCCTCAGGTAACGTTATGGCGCTGTGCATGGCCAGGGGAACCACGGACCGTCTCCCTGATCCGCAGTGTCATGTCTGGTCAACACCAGGAACCAGGCTGACCCTGGAGCTGTGCAGAACCCCACGGCTGTAGCTGTTTTCTCTACTGACCCCACACACTGGGGAAAAGCTGCAGAGGACAGCAGTCTCCTACACCACCTTCCTTCACATCCCCTCATCCCTGCATCATTGCCGTTATCTGTCATCTCCTTTCCCCCTAATTTGTCCCCAAACACGTCACTGCACTAGTGCTGAGCTCTAAGGGTGTTTGTGAGCCTGTTGGAGAGTCTCCAGAAGCCATGGAGCCATTTTGCCCTTGGACACTGCAGGCAGAATGTGGCTTTTGGCTGAAAGCAGCCACTGTCCCTCCAAGAAACCAGTGCTTGCATTTTGGAGGACATCTCCAGCACACTCAGAGGACCTCTGAAGTGAGCTGGCAGGACAGGACCAGGCGGACAAGCAAGGCTACGAGGATTGGTAAGGGAGAGCTGTCTGGGGGATGGTACAAACTATGCAGCAACCTCATCTGCTCTTCTCATATGCCAAGACCGCTGCTCTGGGCTTGGCTGTGTCCTCCCATGCCCTCTCCTTGTTTCCCACATCCTCCAAGCAGGAGATGAGGCTCTGGCCATCCATAGACCTGTTGGAGTGAGTCCAGAGGAGGGCCACGAAGGTGGTCAGAGGGCTGGAGCACCTCTCCTGTAAAGACAGGCTGAGAGAGTTGGGGTCGTTCAGCCTGGAGAAGAGCATGCTCCAGGGAGACCTTATAGCAGCCTTCCAGTACTTAAAGGGGGGCCTTCAGGAAGGCTGGGGAGGGACTCTTTATCGGGGAGTGTAGTGATAGGATGAGGAGTAATAGTTTTAAACTGAAAAGGGGTGGATTTAGACTAGATATTAGGAAGAAATTCTCTACTCTGAGGGTGGTGAGACACTGGCACAGGTTGCCCAGGGAAGCTGTGGATGCCCCCTCCCTGGAAGTGTTCGAAGTCAGGTTGAACAGGGCTTTGGCAACCCGATCTGGTGGGATGTGTCCCTTCCCATGGCAGGGATGATGTTCTTTAAGGTCTCTTCCAACCCAAACAGTTCTATGATATATGAATGTCATGGACTCAGAGAGAGGGTCTGTGGGAAAAGGTGCTAGGGGCTGATTTTGGGGGTGTCAAGGGGGAGGGGGGTTGATGAGGATATCAGGCTGCTCCACCTCCTTTAGTCCTTGCACCTCCTCACTGCAAGAAGTTGCTCTTTAAGTCCCTCTTTCCTCCCCTAAGCGCCTTAGGGAGCAGGGGCAAGAAATGCTGGCGCTTTTTATAGCAGCTGTAATCCCTGCTGCTCACACTGCACCCTCGCGCCCCAAGGCCCAGGGCTGAGTGTCCAAAATGGAGGCTGCTGCCCAAAAACTGCCTCAAACCCCTTTGGTTCCCAGAATCCCTTTTCTCCCAGGGCGAAGATCTGGATTGGGGCTGATTCTGGGCTCAAACTCCCTTTGCAGAAGGTGTTGAAGGACCACAAGCATTGCACCCCACTCCCAGTCACAGCACTCTGGCAGGGAGGGACAGACAGACAGACGTACAGAGACGCATGGATGAGCACCAGAGCAGCTGCTCAGCCTCTCAGCTCTGCTCCAAGACTTACAGAGCTGGAGCCAGCCCTGCAGCACAGCCACATGAAAGTCCCCGGGAGCAGGAGGAGCTGGGGGAGGCTGAGGGCTTCTTTCCTTTGTAATCCTCCACACCTTTAACAAGAGGGAAACTGAGGCAGGCAGGGAGTAGGGAAGAGGCAGAATATACCTGACCCCACAGCATAGGAGCAGAGCTGGTGAGCTTTAAAGGTGCTGAAGCTCCACACTTGGTAGAGCCATATTCCACCACCTGTCCCCATCCTGGTGGCCAGCACCGTGTTCCTCCATACCAACCCCAGACCTGGTCCCCACTCAAGGACCACTGCTGTGGGTCTGGCCCCTGTCTCCCACACCTCTTTGCAACATGTTTGCTGTAATTTTGCCTTTAAGCACCCCATGAAAAAAAAACCACACTAAAACCAACAGCAACAACAAAAAAAACAAACACAGGGAGATCTTCTAGGTCAGGCTGCACTAAGACGATGAAAGCAGATTAATTTCTCAGAAAAGCAATTCACATTTTTCTTCCTCTCCCACTGGGGAGTGAAGCAGGGCAGGCAGGCACGAGCACACACATCTCCTGGGCACACACAGCTTTTAGTGTCACCCCTGGGGTGGCACTGAGTGGGGACGTCCCCAGGTCCCAGCCCTGCAAGGAAAGCAGAGGATTCTCTGGTAAAGCAATGGGTCATACAAGCGGGAAGGAGAAGGTGGCACATGAGGGACCTTGAGGGGTCAGGGTGGGCGCCCACCACCTAGGGAGAAGGAAGGGGAGAGCTGTGCCACTGCCCCCTCTCAGCACCCGGTGTCCCCAAGCCCAAGCCCGTCCTCATCACCCACCCATGCCCACACACCCACGAGGCCCAAAACAATCACACTTGTTTGTGACTTCCAAGGAGAGCCAGGCAGCTCTAAAACCAGAGGATTAATCTTCAAAGCAAAGGCCTGGCCAGCTGCCAGGCCGGGCAGGGCCCAGGCCGGAGAGGCCTTTCCCAAAGCCTGGGCTTGCTCCTGGCTCACACGGCAGCTTTGTCCTGCACTCACCAGCCTCTGAGTACACACTACAAGCTCTTTATTAGAAGACTGGGGGACATCTTCCCCTTCTCCTCAGCTGCCTCTGCACAAAACCTGTAGGAAGTTCCTGTCTCAAAGATCTGTAACCCTGGGGCAGTGGGAAGGAAAAGCTGGAAACCCGGGGCACCAGAACCCTCTGCTGGGCTGGTACTGGAGGTGCTGGGTAGGGCAGGGAGCCAGTCTGGGTGAGAGGTGCTGTCCAGAGGAGAGCTGGACGATGGGGCCAGGCTGGGTCCCAGGTCCCCCAGGATTGTGGCTGAATGCTGTCCTGAAATGGAGGTTGTTTTGGCATCACAGGGCTCTCCCTGGGCATCACCACTCTGCTCCGACTGGCACCAACACTTCATCCTTGTCCAAGAGACCGTCCCTGCTGCCAGAACCCCACAGGGCTGAGAGCAAGGCTTGGGGGCATGACCAGCCCTTCCTGCCCCATTTGTTGGCCTCTTCAGCTCCACGCTGCCTGCAATGGGCCGGGCAGCGCAAACTCAGGGCTCTGCTGGCAGTGCTGCCCCCAGCAAGGCTTACAGAGAACATTGAGGTTCATGGGCCTGATGCTCCCCTAGGGGCTGTGGTAGCCCGTGGGGACACCCCCCCCACTGCCACTGGTCTCACCAGGTCACTTCATCGCACCGCTCTGACTGAAAACCTTCTCTTGAGGGGTTTTGCCAGCCTGTGCTCAGCTCGGGGGAACTAGTGGGCTGGATGCCATCATTCCCACGTTACACTTGCTTCATCTGGACTTTTTCTTATCTTTTCAACTCAGCATTGGTTGCCAGACGCAGGGCTGTGGCAGGAAGGTCTGAGACAAGCCAGTGTTTTTTGCATGGCCTAAAGGGTGCATTTTAGGGACAACAGGGAGCATTCCCCCTACAGCACAGAGAGGGTGGCAGTGCCAGGATCCAACCCTGCAGGCTGCAGGTGCTTGCTCCCACACATCCCCTGCACCCGCTCCCCAGGCACTCCGCAGTGATATGCCCCACACCACCAAGCCCACAGGGTTTTGTGGGGCCACAGGGCTGCCAGACCAAAGGCCACGGTGGTTGGCAGGGAGGCTGGATGCCACTCCACCTCCGACCATGGGGATCAGGCTCTTCTCCCCTGGGAAAAGGTTATCTTCACACTGCCTCCCCAACATAAATTGCTTAAATGGCTGCAGCACTCAGGGGACAGGGCCTTTCGGAGCCAAGCTGTACACAGGGAGGGGAAAGCCCGGGGGACTTTTCAGTAACTAGCAAGGGGAGCTATTAAAGTGTTTTACTGCCTCGTTAAGACAGTCTAATCTCTGTGTGTATCTTAAAAAAAATTGGCTTGCTGGTGTTTTTATTGTAACAGAGGTGGGTGTTTCTGGCACCAGCTGGGATCCTGCCTGCTTTGTCTGCTTGTTTTCTTACCTGAACGGCCCAAGAACAGCCCAAGAGCAGCAGCAGTCAGAGCCAGGCACCCTGTTCCTTCCCCAGCAGCGGCATGGTGAGAGGCTGCAGATCCACACTAAGAGCTGTTTCCCACTCATAGGTGCTCTGCACCCCATTGCTGCACTCACCTTTCAGCAAGACAGAGGTCCTTGGGATGCTCCCCCAAGGCAGGTTTGGGTCATGCTGGGTCTGTGTGTGCCTGGGCAAAGCCTGGAGATAGGGAAGGGGATGGCAGGAAAACTCTGAGGTCTCATCCACCCCTCCAGCTCTGGGATTTGAGGGATACCCAGATTTTGGGGCTATGGGCGGCTTAGGCTCCTGTCAGCTGGGCAGAAGAGTCCATGCCCAGGGGAGCCTCAGCAAAGGCTCACCAGGGACCCTGCAGCCATACAGAGCCATCTGACTGACAAGGTCTAGTTTTGGAAGAGGAATGGGCTGGGCATTTTGTTTCTAAGGTTTTCTTCACTTTATTTCTTACCTCAGCCCAGCAGAAAATGGGGAAATCCTGCCGAGCCCTGCTGGCTCCAGCACCCACCTCTCCATCTGCAAAAAAGCTCAGGGTTTCAAAGCCAGGAGCCGGAACGGATGCTGAGGCCGGGACGGCAGGACTGGATAAGCAGCTTGCGTTTGCTTTGGAAAGGCTGGTGTTTGCATGAGCACCGGCTCCAGTGGTTTTAAAGGGACCCACCCAGGAGCAAATCCCAGCAGCCTGAAATCAGCTGTGGCTGCTTCCAGTCTGGGCTGAGATGGAGAAGGCTCCCCCTGCATGTCCTGGGTGGAGTAGACAGAACAAGGGAAGGAAACAGAGGCTGCAGCACGGCTAACGAAGCTGGCAAACACCTAGAAAGGTCTTCCCTGGAAATTTGGGGCAGGAAAGGCAAAGCTGCCATCTGTAGCTGGAGACATAGATCAGCCAAGCTCAATATGCCCCATCTCCTGGAGATCATCCCACCAGCACCCTCACTGCCAGCAGACATGCTCAGGTACCCGGCTGCTTCAGGAAGAGTGAATTTTAGGTGTCACCACCCTGATGTGGGAAGGGACAGATCCCTGGACACATGGCCTGTGCCTGTTTCAGGACTGGGGGCTAAACCTGCCCTGCCTGCAGAGCTGCCAGGAGTTCCAGGGTATTTCAGACCAGAACCTCTCCCGTTCCCCTGGAAAGCCCCTTGAGCTCAGCAATGCACTGACAGCATGGCCTGGGAGAAACACTACCATTTATTAAGCCAGCTTTTTTTTGTTGAGAATTATTTTAACAGTGCTGGAGGACTTACCCCATCTCCCCCCGGGACCTTCAGCTGATTCATTGCATGCAGGATTAGAAGGAAAGCAGGGGGCAGCTGGGCCAGCTCAGGGGATGCAGTGGCTCAGCAGCAGCGGAGTTACACAGAGCCACGAGCTGCTTGCAGGCAACGGCAAGCCAAGCACAGCTGCTCCGGGGCAGGCAGATGGGATGCTCACATAGGGCAACCTGGTCCCAGTTTGCTGGGATTCCCCCAAGTCCTTGGCAGGTGCTGTCTCTGGGAATTTTGGACGTTGTCCTGCTCTCCATGTCCATCCAGGGAAGCCCTGAGGATCTGCAGGGGAAGGAAGGGTGCTCGGGGGTGTCAGTACAGAGTTTCCACTGATGGTGCTGCTTCAGAGGCACAAAGCTGAACCTGCCATGCACTCGACCACCTTCCTAACCCCAGTCAGCTCACATCTCCCATCTAGAAATAGTCGCAGCCAGGTCTTCCCTCTCTCTTGGCTTCTCATGGACTTGAGATGCTGTTCCCACTTCCACCACCCCAGCAAGGAAAGAGCCAGGCTGTGACCCTCACAGGCAGGGGATGACAGCACCCATGGGTTGTGAAGCCAGGACCCTCCAGACTTGTCCACATGCACGAAAGAGCCTCTCTCCTTGAAGTGGGGGCCTGCAGAATGCCCAGGTCCTTCCCTGCATCATCTGGTGAAGGCAGCAGGTCCTGCCCAAGCTCACACACAGCTCCAGTTGCAAGCCATGCTCTACAAGCCAGTGAGGGATGAGGGGAATGGGAAGGCATGGGAATGGACAGTAAAAGGCACAGGCAGAAGCCAAGGCTAAAAGGACAGAGAAGATATCTGCAGGGCAGGGTCGCTGCAAATCCACCCTGGCAGAGAAGCCTCAAGTTTCCAGTTGCTGGTAGGGGGCAGAGACCTGGCACCACTCATCACACAGATAGAGAAACCCAGCCGTCCTCCCCATCGTGCTGCGTCAGGGGAAAGCACGAGTCCGAGTATGAGCCCTGTGAGCTCTGCCAGGCTGCCCATATGCCGCCACATCACGGGGTTTCTGCAGGACCTGGTCCCAAGGTTGGACACAGTCCAGAAACAAACTGGGAGAACTGCATCTCCACCTCTCACCCAGTGCTTTGCCCTTCTCACGTAATCACATCAGGAAGGGAAGTCTGCATCTTCATCCTTCCTCCACAGGGCATGGATGAAGGGTCCCCATCCTAACAGGAGCAGCTACAGTGACCATCCTGATCACACTTCTGATTGGCTTCACAGATATGTTTAAACCAGGCAGGGCTTCACCAGGTGCCCCAGGTCAACCCCAGGTTCTGAATGAACACTGCCCTTGAAGACAATGATGAAAATGAGCACATCCAACAAGGATGCCCTGCTGATGGTCCTGCCCCACACCGAGCATGCTGGTGCCACCGAGCTGTGGATGTGTGGCAGCATCTCCTGTCCTCCCTGGGTATCTGGTCTGGGGGAAGGGTCCGCAGTTTTACCAGACGGGAAGCTGAGGATGAGAGGACAGAGCTGGAGCCAGGGAGATGTCCCAGGAGTTCTGCTGTCCCAGGTTTCCCCACCAACTCTTCCCAACCACCAACATCAAGGACAACAGAGGAGTGACCAGCCACCTTTGAGCACCACCCCAGAGCAAAGGATTAAATTTATGGGGACCCACCTCATCCCACCTCTCCCAGAAATTCACCACAGGGCAGGCACGCAGTCCCTTAGGGCTGCATCCCCAAACACTGATGGAGAGGTCAGAGGAACAGTGCAACATCACCAAGCCAGCCTCTCCCCTCTCCCCAGCCACCCCAACTCTCCCAAGCAGAGGCAAGTGAAGCAGAGCGGGCAGTTAGGAGAGCTGGACTGGGAAGGAGAAGCCATGGGCTACAAGAATGTCACATCGTCCTGAGACTGGAGCCAGCGCCAGTGGGCATCGTACTCCAGGTGCAGCTTGCTGTTGAGTTTGCAGTTCTCAAAGTCACCTTCAGCTTTCCGAGCCTTCCCACCCGCGCTGCCCTTCCCCAGCCTCTCCCCAGCCCCCGATGGCAATTTGGTGTCTCTGCCTGGTTCCAGAGAAGACGGCTGCTGGCCCAAATACCCATTGGCCACCTGGGGCTCCATAGCAAACTGGTGATCCTGGGGCAGCCCAGGTGGGGAGAGGTCCACGTGGGGCCACTCATGCTCCGCTTTGCCCTTCTCTTGCTTTGCGGGACCCCTCTCGGGGTCAATCCTGACCCAATCCTGCTCCGCTCTGACCAGGGCTCTGCCGGGTGCGGATGCAGTGGTGGTTTCAGCGGCATTTTGGGAGTACTCATCCATGTCATCGGCCAACGTGTCCAAGTAGCTGCCGACGGAGATGCTGTCCAGCCTGTCGTTGGGGTCCTGCAGGCTGTCCCAGCTGCCCCGCCGCGAGGCCGCCTGGCTCTCCACCAGGCTGTACTGGCTGGCGGGCCGGGTGGCCGTGTGCCCCCCCCCCCCCCCCAGCCACTTCACCGCCTCGATGCCCTCATTCACCACCACCAGCTGCTGCAGGATCTTCACGTCGACTGCTCGCAGGTAAGCCTGGCAAGGAGACAGAGAGTGCAGGAGTTTTTTGGCGGGGAACAAGGTGACCCTGGTGGCTGAGGGACCCAGGTCCCAGCGCACCACAGCAGAGGTGTCACCGTGGTGGCTGCAGGTCTCCCAAGCTGCTTGATGAACAGCATGGCACAGGGGAACACCCTGTGGGGAACCATCCCAGGGGACCATGTCCAAGACCTGGGGACATGACCATCAGGGACCAACAGCTTATAGCACCCACCGGCCACCAACCCTCTTGGGGAAATAAACCCAGGATATTTATGTCACTGACTCCTATAAGGACAGGGGTAAGCAAGGAACTGGACACACTGTGTGCAGCTCTGAGCCTAGAGCAACCCCCAAACCCTGGGAGGTAGCTGGCAGGGCAGGAGGGGTCAAGCAGGAAGGCACTGGGACATTGCTCAGATCCAGCTGGACCATCAGCACCTCCCCAGACTGTTTTGGCCAGGCCCCCTCATGCATTTACTTTCCTCCTTCTAGGGTCTGACCCAAGCCTGGTGACAATGTGACAGAGCAGGATTTGGAGCCTGAGACCCAAATCACTCCCAAAATGGGGAAGGATGGCATGGGGAACAGGCATTGCTGATCACGCCACTCGCCTCACCACCTCCTGCCCCTCCGAGCCGGGGGAAGCTCTTTGAAAAACTTCAGTTGCTGCAGAAACATCTGTTTTCCTAATGGAAAGCCTTGCGTGCCAAGACATTCCTGTCTGTGCGATACTGGCCGCCGAAAGCCACTGGATTTCCCCTGCGCGAGACGCAAATATTTTGCCAGGAACGGGAATAAGGCGGCATCAGGGGGGAAGAGGGAGAGAAAACCATCACAGGACAGGTACAGGCAGCCTGGGAGCTGCAGATGTCCATGGGTTCGTTCACAAAAACACCTTGTCCCCAGCACCAGCAAGCTGCCATGGAAATCCACATGGTCCCCTGGGATCATTTCAAGCACAGTGCCTGGACCCCAGCATCCGGTGCCCTTAGAGTCACCCACCCGCCCACAGGTGACCTACTGCTCTCTCGGGACCCCCATCTCCGGTCCCACAGCAACAAAAACATCCCAGGAAGGAGCCTGGGAAAACTCCAGCCAGGGTTTCGGCATGAGACGCCTCCCAGTCCAGAGGACACACAAAAAAAAATAAAAAGAAGGGGCAAAGATTTGTAGAGACCCAACACCAACCTCCATCCCCTTCCCACATTCCTCAAGCTGGATTTAGATAAAAAATAGCAGCGATGTGCCCGGATTGGGGCAGGAGCCAGCTTCCAAGTGCAGAAACTTCCTTTCTAGGCAAGTTATTTCAAAAACTGCCTACAGCGGACTTTTCTGCACGCACTGCTAAAGCATCTGGCCTTGGCAAGGGGAAGGCGCGGGAGGAGGAAGGCTGAGAACTCCTGAAGGGGAGGTTCCCCACTTTTCTCTGCCTCAGGCTGTCACAGATGCCAGGGGGCCAACCCGAGAGCAGAGGGTGGGGAAATGCTCCCTGCTATCTGTATTGTTTTCTGGAAAGGGTTGGCCGTTGATCTGCTACTACTTCAGACCAGTCTGACCGCCAGCCCCCATTGCACCCCCAAAAAAAACCCTCTCCAGCAAGGCAAGATTAGCGCAGGAGGAGACTGAGATCCAGCCACTCTCTATACCCATCCAGATGTGGTGAAAGGTACACTGCACTGACCCCACACCCATCCCAAAACCCACAGGGTGCTCCCCACACAGTGCTCCTCACATCTGGACCCAGGGCAGCACCAGCAGCAACATCCATAGGGGAGGAAGGTGACCATGGTCCTGAATGTGTGGCAGGGGGCCAAGGAGACCCGCCTGGATCCCTGTTTCAAGATGTGACACCCTGCACTGCTCCATGCCTCAGTTTCCCCATACACATGCTGCAAATGCTGTCCTCTCCCACATCCACAGATGTCTCCCTCTCTTTCAAAGTGGACCCCACAGGGGAGGTACAAGTCCCACTTGCCTCCCCAGCATGTAAGAAACCCACAGGAACCATCTCTCCCTTCCAGACATTGAGGCCCAGGGACAGAACATCCTCCTCGGAGCAGGAGGTGAGCGTGGGAATTCGCTCTTTTCCCTCCCAGGCCAGCTGCTCCTCTGAGCACTGGGTTTGCTGGTCTCTGCTGCTGGGAGGGGAATTTCAGCTTCTGTTCATGGGGATGGGAAGACCCCCGTGCTTGGTTTTGGGTACCCAAGTGCCATTCCCGGGCTGACCTGGCTGTGAGGTGTTCCCACGTCTTCACTGCCCGGTGCAGAGAGCTTGGGCAGAGAAAGATCAAACCTTTCTGAGCCAAGGTTAATAATGCGTGGCTAAAGCCAGGCCTTGCAGCCCATGAGCTGACCCGGGCAGGGCAAACACCACAGCTGCTTCCTCCTACTCCTTCGAGCAACCCAGGGCCTGCAGACCTTTCTTCTTGGGTCAGAGTGCAGCCTGGAAGAGGGTGGGGAAGGACGAAGGATGAAAGCGGAGGGAGAATGAAAGCTTTTACACCGACGACGGGGAACACCGATTTGGCTAAAGCATGGATGTGGAGGAAGCTCACCGGGTGGGTGCCCAGGCCCCCGCGTGGCAGGCAAGGATGCGGGCGGACTTGGCCTGTTTCCCTATGGAAACAATGCTTATTCCATGCGTGGGAGAGTCCCTTCCCCCAGCAGCACTTGAACCCATTGCCCAATCTCGCCACGTTTCCCGCAGGCGCACGCATCGCCGGTATTTGCTCCCCCCCGCGAAAAGAAGGAGGCGAGAAAGCGCCGCCGGCCC